CACCGACTACCGAAAGGTGAACTTCGTCACTAAGACGGACTCGTACCCCATTCCCAGGATGGACGACTGTATTGATAAAGTAGGCAAGGCTACTTATATTACGAAGCTCGATTTGTTGAAGGGTTATTGGTGTGCCCCAACCGAGCGCGCTAAGGAGATATCTGCTTTCGCGACTCCGGATGGCCTGTATCAATACCGCGTGATGCCTTTTGGGATGAAAAATTCCCAGCCACCTTCCAGCGAATGATGAACCATTGCCTGCGAGATCTGGCTGGTGTGAGACGTACATCGATGACATAGTCGTGTACAATAACACCTGGGCCGAACACATGATATCTCTACGAAAAAGTCTTCGATCGGTTGAAGCATGCCAATCTCACCATTAACCTTGCGAAAAGTGATTTCTGCCAGGCAGAAGTGACGTATCTCGGACACGTTGTCGGCCATGGGCGGATAACTCCGATCGAGGCAAAAATACAAAGTATAGTTAAGTACCCAGCCCCGACCAATGTAAAAGGCCTGAGGAGATTTCTCGGAATGGCGGGTTACTATCGCAAGTTCTGTAAGAATTTCTCTGATATAGCCTCACCGCTTACCCAACTGTTGAGGAGGAAAGCCAAATTTGATTGGACACCCGACTGTCAGAGATCCTTTGATCAAATAAAAGCCCTATTGTGCTCAAACCCTGTCCTCAAAGCTCCTGAATTTACCCGACCGTTCAGGTTAGCTGTAGATGCAAGTGACCATGGCATTGGCGCAGTATTACTACAGACCGATGCAAATGGTATCGAACACCCGGTCAGTTATTTCTCAAAAAATTCAACAATCACCAGAAAATTACTCTACAGTAGAAAAGAAACTCTTGCCCTTTTGTTAAGTTTACAACACTTCGAAGTGTATGTGTCTTCGTCCAGTCAGCCTACTTTAGTATATACTGACCATAACCCACTAACCTTCCTCAGGAAAATGAAGAATACGAACAGGCGACTACTGTGCTGGAGTTTAGCGTTACAAGAATACGATCTAACTATTCAGCACATAAGAGGCATCGACAACGTGTGTGGACGCCCTGTCCCGTATCTGATCGATAAGCTTTTGAGGATCAAACGGGGACGAAAACAATCTCTTTTCTTTTTTTAGAAAACTGCCGTTAATGGCATTTTTCTTTTTTTGGTAGGGAGGTGTCACGTAGCAACGATTTCATTAACCATATAGGCGTTAGGCTAAAGTAAAATCTTAAATAAAGAGAAAATTAGTTAGATATAAAAGAAAGATAAATAAATAGATAAAAACAGAAATTTAATCCAATGCTTCCGATTCGCGAGCGAATATATTCTATGATCAGCCATACCCCCCCTCTTCTCTTCACAAATTCTTTCTCTCCTTATCCTCTCTTCCACCCGCCAGCCAAGGGCCCGTGAACTTAGACGCGAGGATGACCTGGTTCTAAGATTTCGCGTTTGACCATGAGTAAACTCCAGACACCATCAGGGTCTCATGCTGCGATTCACGTGATCGGGACGTACGGAGCATGCGTTGAACTTTTGGCCATCACACAAACACTGCGTGATTTGCGCCCTATTCTCCTGCGTACCCGGTCAAGGACGAAGGGAACCCACGTGACTGTCTGTGGGGACAGCGAAAACCAAAGAAGGATTTTTGCAGTTTCCCTCTGACCAGCAGCAGTTGAACATCGCTGGGCAAAAACCGTCAGACCGCCCACTGAGATGAGGAAGACCACGAAGTCTATCGACCAGTGATTGAAAAGCTGCTATTGACTGATCAACCCAACCAAATGCCTGTATGAAATGCTGGGGACCCACGAACACTTGCGAAAAGAAGAAGAATCCAGGAACATTGTCGGCCGGCCAAGATACTGATTTATCATCAGAACTCTCGCTTCGGCGAATCAAAACTTTGTGAAGATACCAGCCCGACTGCAAGATAAGTTGGTTCTTTTGGCTCGATCTATTTTCATATATGTATATACTCGCTCGCGCCTTCTATTCTTTACTGATGTCCTCCCCCTTTGTTAAATGAATGTTCTTTTTTTTTTTTTTGTTTCGTTACATATATATTTATAAATAAATGTTTAATTTTGAAATCCATCGTCTTGCGTCTGTTCTTCGTTGATTCCCTTGTGTCGCTTCCATTTCTGAGTGAAGACCGAGAAAAGAAACCACGTTTTCCTTTTTTTTTAGAACCCGTGGTTCATCTATATGCTACAAGTTCGTAACAATAATATATATATATATATATATATATATATATATATATTGATTGAACATCTCTGATCCTGTTTATGGCCGCCAGTGAATTGCACATCTTGGAGCAGATTTGACACTCATGACTATTGGCGTTGGTTGAGACAACAGACACGGTGTTGGCATCACTGTGAACTTTTTTGTGACGTTTCAGACAATCAGATGATCGTCAAACTCCAAAGCAGTGGATTCAATACGCCGCATGGAAAGCACAACAAGTGTAGTTCGATTACTTTCCTGCGATTTCATATGATTAAGAAGGTCTGCCTTTGACAACAGGTTCCGGTCATACACCTCACAAATCCATATATCTCCCCAATTTGCCAGCAGAGGTTCCCGTTTTTGCATGCTCTCTTGAGCTTTGCCCGGTCTGCTCTGGCTGGCTCAAAAATTTCAGCACACTTGAATATCACAGCCCCCCACTTGTCACAATCAGATTATAGGGACTCCCAGTAATGAACAGGACCACCAAAATACGCTAAACTCTCCTTGACACTATCTCGAAACCATCCTTTTGGCTTTCTCTGGGGTCTTTTGCCAGAAAGAATCACACCATAATTGGAAATCTGGAGTCATAAAGCCGAACAAGATGACTAACCAAACGCATCTGGATCTTGACCGCAATTGTAGCAAGGCTGACTGTTTTAGCGTTGTCCAAGACACCTGACTGTGGAACACGACTGTTCCACTTCAGACCAACAATATATCTGAGACAGTGCTGATGGAATATTTCAAGATGTTTTATATGAGATTGATACAAGGTTTCGGACGCATAGAGTAAGGTTGACAACACACATTTTAGTCACTTCAGTTGCCAAACTTAAATCACCATCAGCCCACACTTCTAGCTTACCAAAGGACACAGATGCCTTGATTGTTCTCTGTTTGATTTCCGCATCAAGGGAGCCATCATTAGATAAGGTACTACCAAGGTAGACAAACTCTTTGATGACTTCAAGAGGCTCCCCATAGACAAAGATGTCGGGTTCCACGTAACGATCGCCTGAAGCGGGAGTGTACATGATTTTGGTTTTCTTAAAGCTGATTGTCAGTCTAAAGCAGTTACAGCCATTAATTAGGTCGGCATTGACAGCATATAGATGCTCCCTAACAAATCCGTCACTAGAAAGGCGGTTCTGGCTTGGAATCTTCTCAAGTTGAAAACTTTTCCAGTTGTTCGGAATCTGATCTAGATACCTGTATCACAGTCATGGAAAGCATACCAGAGTACAGCCGTCAGGTAAAGCGAGAGCAATGTTGAAGCAGGTATATCACCCTCTGCTTTCCTCCATTATCAATTGGAAGTTTCTCCAAGATCTGACCATTAAAATTGATACGCCCTTTCATAGAGAAATCTAGTTGCTTGAATTTTTCGATAAAAGCAGGTGTGCAACCAAATTTTCTCAGCACCTTCTAGAGAGCTCCATGATTCACTGTATCGAAATCTTTAGTCAACAAAAAACTGACACAATGGCACACGCTGTTCAGTACATAGTTCTACCCGCTCTTTAGCAGAGATTATCCTGTCTATGGTCTCTTTTCCGCCTCTAAAAACCAGATTGCGACTCAGGAAGGACATCAGGACAAATATACTTCTCCAATTGGTTTAACAAGACTCTTGCTAACACTTTTCCAACTGCTTCTGGCAGTGACATATTACGGCAATTACCACTAACTTCTTTCCCTTCGCTTTGTACAGCATATTCAGAATGGCATCTATCCAGTCTTGAGCAAATGGGTCACCCCTCCATATAGATATCATTAAAGATTGTTCCGCACAATGGACATTCATACCGTCATGTTTCAATAGCTCAACATGAATACCATCTAGACCAGGAGCTTTGTTTGAGTTGATCTTTTCTATGCAAGCAATTGTTTCTTCAAGAGTTGGTTCCATGTCAAGTTCAGGCTGAAGGTCACGCTGAGAAACACTGTCTAATGCAGCAATATCCACATTGGAAGAATTGTAAAAGAGATCTCAAAAATGTTCATACCAACGGCTCATAATTTAATCTGAATTCTTCGATAAGGTGGTTCCCTCCTCTGCCAGGAGTGATGAAGTTGAGGAAGATTTTGGACCATATCCCTGACGAAGCAGACCATAAAACGTCGTGATATCTATCTGTCTGTACCGCCTTCGATAGACCAGACCACCATTTGTGCACTGCACCTTACCTTTCACAAACGTAGGAATTTCGAGAGAAAAATTGGTTGCCATTAGCACCTTGACTCTTTTTGTTTTCATGCGAGTTACATTGCTGAGTTCCACCAGTTCAGACCTTCACAACTAAGATCCGTCATGTCAACTTCAACAAGGATGAATCATTTCCAGTCTCTTTGACTTCTGTATTAGTACGAAATAATTTCTATTTAGACAGCTCATCTGCGATTACTACAATCTTAGCCTATTCAAATTTCTGGTTTAGCGTGATATATTCTACATATGTATATAATTATTAAAATCAGCCTGATTCAATAATGCTCTACTTTGAGTGGCTCTTGGGCTTTGTACTGGGTGAATCTGTCTTGTTTTTAATTCTTTCTTTTGAACAGTTTGACTTGAATTAGATGTTGCCAAAATTTTGTATAAACGTTGCTTACTTCTGAATAAATAAATTATATTCGTCAAGTTCTTTATGCGTTCTTAAAATTTGCTTTTATTAATTACACAAATACACGCACAAACACACACAAAATTTTCTTCTTTATAGAAATTCTATAATATATATCATTATAATGATGAGTCTTTTTCTACTGTTTTTCTACTTCTTATTGTTCAATAGATTTCCATATGCATCTGTTCAACTACAACATTGTTCTATTTTTCTTCTTCTTCTTCTTCTTCTTCTTTTTCTTCCTTTCTATTTTCTCTCTTCTTCTTTTATTTCTTCTGCTTCTTCTTTGGCTTTTCTTGTTCTTCATCTCCTTTTTCTTTTCTTCTTCTTTTCTTCTTCTTTTCAACTTTTATGTCTTTTTTCTTCTTTCTTTTTTTTAACGGCTTCTTCTTCTTCTCCTTCTTTTTCTTTTCTTATTTTCTATCTTCTTTCTTTCCTATTTGATTCTTCTTTCATGTTTTTCTCCTCTTTCTTCTTTTATTTCTTCTTTTCTTCTCTATCTGCTTCTTCTTCTTTTCTTCTTCATCTTTTTTATCTTCTTTTCTTCTTCTTCTTCTTCTTCTCTTTGTTGTTCTTTTATTTCTTCTTTTCTTCTCTATCTGCTTCTTCTTCTTTTCTTCTTCGTCTTTTTTATCTTCTTTTCTTCTTCTTCTTCTTCTTCTCTTTGTTGTTCTTTTATTTCTTTGTTCCTTCTCTATCTGCTTCTTCTTTTTTTCTTCTTTGTCACTTTCTTTTTCTTCTTCTTCTTGTTATTTTCTTTGTCTTTTTGTTCTTCTTTTATTTTTCTTGTCTTCTCTATCTGCTTCTTCTTCTTTTATTTTTCATCTTCTTTTTTATCTCCTTTTCTTCCTCTTCTTCTTTTCTTCTTCTTTTCTTCTCTTTGTTCTTCTTTTTTTTCTTCTTTCATCTTTATCTGCTTCTTCTTCTTCTTCTTCTTCTTCTTCTTCTTTACTTGTTCTTCATCTTTTTCATTTATTCTTTTTTTTTTCTCTTCTTTTTTTCTTTACTTCTTCCTCCTTCATCTGCTTCTTCTTCTCCTCTTTTTCTTGTTCTTCACCTCTTTTTCTTTTCTTCTTTTTCTGTTCTTTTTCTTCTTTTCCTTCAATTTTTCCTTCCTTTTTTAATCAATAAATTTTCCTTTTATTCTCTTTAATCTTCCTTTCTTTCTTCTTTTTTATTCTTTTTTCTCCTCCTTTCTTTTCTTCTTCATCATCATCATCTTCTTCCTTCTCCTCCTCCTCCTCCTCCTTCTTCTATATATTTTTATTCAGATCTCTTCTTCTTATTAATATTTTCTTCTTTTTTTCCTGTTGTTTTTCTTCTTCAGTAGATTTCTAAATGTATCTGCTTAGTTACCAATCATTTCCTTCTTCGATTTTTATTTTTATTCTCTTCTTTGATTTCACTTCATTTATTATTATTCTTCAATACATTTCCATAATGTATCTCTCTCTCTCTCTCCCTCTCTCTGTATATATTTATATATATATATATATATATATATATATATATATATATAAAATTGATCCTAGCAACAGCCTGTCGCCTCTGAGAGTTGACTTCAATATATATATATATATATATATATATATATATATATATATATATATATAGTCACAATACTTTTTTTTTTATTGCTTCTTTTTCTGCTTCTTCAATAGATTTCGATATGCAACTATTTCGTCACAAACCGCCATCTTCTTTTCTTCTTCATCTTTTCCTCTCATTCACAAAAGTTTCTTAATATATATCTGTTTAATTACAAATTTTATTCTTCTTTTTTTCACTTCCCTATCAGTCCTTGTCTATTTGTCTTTTCTTTCCCTTTTTCTTTGCGTGTTGCTTGTTGCTTTTTTTTTTCTGTCCCCTCTAAATTTGTCATCACATCTTTCAGTTTTTGTATTCATTCTTTTTCCTGTTCTTTTTGCTTTATCATTTTTATTTTAATATTTTTGTTTTTCCTCGACATTTCTCTTTCTTCCAATTTCTTTTTTTTTCTACAGTTTCCTTTTTCTTTTCACTTCCGTTTCTATTTTTTATAAACTTATTTTAGTGCTTTGTCTTCAGCGTTCGTTTTTCTTTTGCTTTTACTTGAAGCCTCGTTTTCATCATCCCTTTCCGCCATTAGCCTTTGCAGCGTTTCCCAGTTCTCACATCGCTCATCTTGATGGCGTCACTAATGAATCTGTGGGCTGTCTGTTCTCTGCATTATCATTTGTGTCGTATGTCAGGAAGTTCAATTTCGAGATCAGCTTTTACTGTGAAATCATCATGGCTTTTCTCTTTCTTTTATACCTACAGTTTTTAAGTCTTACTTTCGTATAGGCAGTTGATTATATTAAAGAAAAAGACAAGAAAGTTTCACTGAAGACATTACAAAAAATAAAACAAAACGATCTCTTCACCAAAAGTAATTCATTTAACACAGATTTAACTATGGTCTAACAATTCTTTCGTCGTTTATAGATTACGCATGCATGTACAAGATATTTACCTTAGAAACAGACTGACAAAGAGCTTTTCAATATAAATTCTCCTGTATGGCAATGAATACTGTGCAATTTAATTACTACTGGAGAAGATGCTCGGAAGATATGGATACTAAGAATAACATAGGCAGAACATGTGAGCAACGAGGAAGTTTTAAATAAATTTGATTAGAAAGACAGTCATACTTAAAACCAGACACAGACATTTCAAATGACTAATATATTGAGGAAGGACATCTTGTGAAATATAAAACGCATGGGAGTAAAGGAAGGTAAACAGCGAACATATAAGTAATCTAAAGGGGTTCATGTGACTAGTTAGCTGAGCAAGGAACAAGGGAGATAGTAAAGTATTAAACACCCCTTAGAACTACAAACACAGGCAATGGTGGAGGGCCACGATCACCCATATGCTGAAGAGATAGGGCACATAAATTAAGATGATGATCGTTTCTTAGTTTTGAGATTATTCGAGAAAGATGAAAGCTCAGTATTTGTCTATATTTCTGAAATGAGGTATTGTGTACACTATTTACATTATTCGGACTATTGTCCTCATCTTTGTCGCCATATTTATCACAACGTTTCGGCTGAGTAGCGCTCCGGCCTTTCTTCAGGTGGTTGGAATGTCTGACATTCCAACCACCTGAAGAAGGGGGGAGCGTACAACGTCTGAAACGTTGTGATATACATGGCGACAAAGATGAAGACAATAGTCCGAATAATGTAAATAGTGTAGAAGAAACCTCGTAACAACAAAACATGGCGATGGCTGTTTGGTCATGTCCTGGCGCACTGTGCATAATGTCGCTGTTTTCTTCCTCCTTCTTGCTCTTCTTCTTTTTCTCCGCATTTGCCTCTTCCTCCTCCTTCTCCTCCTCCTCCCTTCTTCTCATCCTTCTGCTCATCCTACTTCTTCTCCTTCTCTTCCTTCTACCCCTGCTATTATTATTCTTCTTCTCCCCCGCCTATTCTTCTTCTTCTTCTTCTCCTCCTCCCCTTCTACTTCTTCGCCTCCTCCTCCTCTTCTCCTCCTCCTTCTGCTCTTCTTCTTCTCTTCCTCCTCCTCCTCCTCCTCATCCTTCTTCTTCTTCTTCTTCTTCTTCTTCTTCTTCTTCTTCTTCTTCTTCATTGGGCAGTGTCCCTGCGAGACATTAACGATCATGGCTCTCTAAAACTCCCTGTCCTTTGTAGCCCTTAATATATTTTATCCCTTCTAAATCTTCATCAAACTCGATAGGTTGGTCATGCGTTGTTTTCGTCTCTCCTTCTTCCTCCGAATATATTCCGTGTGTGTCAAATTTCCCATGTCCGCAGTATGTGCTTTAGAAATTTCATAGCTCTCTGTTTGATGCCAATTGCTGGGTTGGTGCATGATAATCAGTATTTTTCTAAACAATATTTATTATAAAAAAAAGAAACATAAGAATTCAACAAAAACATTTTTAAATGATTATTCCATAGCGTAGTCACCATCTACTTCAATAACTGCTTCGCATTTGCTTCGAAGACGTTCGATTCCACAGGAAAAGAAATCACGGTTCTTGGAGGCAATGCATGATTTGACATCTGCCACCAAGTAATCCAAATCGGTATAAACTTTGTTCACCTGCCAATTTTTCAGCGATCGATTAACGTGATCGTCCGTAGGCGCTTTTGTGGGTGAATATGGCGGATGCAGAAGCAGTTCCCTTATTGGCGATACATTCGACAACACGACGCTCAACATGTGGACGAGCACTATCGTGGTGGAAAACGATATGGTTCTTTTTGCGTGTTTTAATCGTCTCAATTGCAGTGTGAAAACGATCAAGTTGAGCCAGATAGATATCACTGTTGATGTTCAATTGCCGCTTGCAGTTTTTTGTCTGGAATCTGCCATTGTTGCCACTCATCGTCGTCATTCCACAAATAACAAATCTCGTTTGAGATGATTTCCCAAAGGATCATTTCGCTTCTGTCTCACCAAACACACCACATTGCCTTCATCCAGTACACATTTTTTGGTATTCCTTTTGGTGATACTCCTTGCAAAACGCAGACCTTCTTTCTTTTGTCGTTTCTCAAAAGAAGCCATGATTCATTCCCAGTGACAAGATTCTTCAGAAACGGTTCTTGCTTGTTTCCTTACAGCAAATCAGTGAAAATTGCGGACACGTTCGGTTTTATTGTTGTCAAAGTATTTGTGAGTGACCCATCCAGCCAATTTTTATACCTTTCCGAGCTTTTTGGGACGATGAACAATGTTTAAATGGTCCACATTTAAGTCTTCGGACAGCATTCGGGTTGTTAAGCTTTGTTTCTCTTCCACGGCTGCCAAAAAGTGGCTGATCATCAAAATCTGACGGTCGCCTCTTCCTGGCTTATCTTCCAAACGAGTGTCGCCAGATTTGAAACGGGTAAATGACTTCGCTGTTTTCCCTCCTTTTTCGAAATGGTAAAGCATAATATGACGAATATGATTATGATTATCGACACGCATTTTTATAACCTGAAAATAAAATAATATTTTTATTAAGAAATTAAATAAAACAGAATTTTTATTAACAAATAACTCGCCTACGAAAACGCCTGATAATTATGCACCAACTCAATTATATGGAATTAAGAAATAAATAATTATAATATTGACGTAAATAGGTGCATTCGGATCCTCGCCTATTCCTATTCTATGAGCGTATACAGCAATTTGAAACCTAACCGCTATATTTGTATAATACAAAACAATTGAAGTGGGTTGGTGCATAATTACCAGGCGTTTTAAATTAATATTTATTGTGAAAAAAGAAACATAACAATTCAACAATAATATTTTCAAATGATTATTCCGGAGTGTATGATTGGCAACACGAATTTTTATCAACTGAAAATAAAATTTTTTTATCTAAAAAAGTAAACAAAACATTTTTTATTAACAAATAACTCGACGACAAAAACGCCTGATAATTATGCACCAATCCAAAATAATGTCCTTTTTGTTTCCATTTTATTTAAAACTTCGTCCTTGTTCCCATGTTCGGTCTACTGTATTCTCATCATCCTGCTGTAGAAGCACATTTCTATTGCTTCAAGCCTCTTCTTTATCTACGAGGAGATGGTCCAGCCTTCATTGTCATACAGGACGACTGATATTACGTCATATTTCAATACTCTTTGTAAATAATTATCCTATTTCTTAATACTTTGCTTAGCTTTTGGAAAGGAACTTTGGCTATATCGGATTTCAGTATTGTGCACCCCGGCTTTTCTGTGAAAGACACATCGCAGATATTTTTAACTCATGTAGTAGTTTGATTTTGGTATCTCCAATTAGTAATTAGTATGTTAGAATGTTCCTTTTGCTGACAACCACGCGTTTCGTCTTATTGCAATTGATGATTAATTTTTTCTTCACATTTTTCTTCACTAACTTCTGCAGGCGTTGCTGTAACTTTCTTTGTGTGTCTGCTATTATCACTGTGTCTTCCGTATATCTTATGTTGCTAGTATCGTGACTGCCTGTAATTATGGTAGCGCTGCTTATTATCTCAGAATCGCCACACTGCATCGGTTGAATCACAAAACGTATTTTGTTGTACATAGACTTTCAGCACCGTATTTAAATAGTCAGTGTGGGCAATTTAGCGATTCACTTGAAACCGATGTGAATGTCCAATATACATTTAAAAATTCAGATAATATATATGAGATATATATATATATATATATATATATATATATATATATATGTATCTGTAAAGATAATATAAATAAAAGACGAAAATATTTTATGCCAACGCGTTTCGTTCCTCGAGGAACTTTAACAAGGCAAGTGAATGAATATATTTAGGAATCTTTATTTTTACAGAGAAGTGAATCAGAGAAAATAAAATAATGTTAGGACGACGAATTACCTAATTATACTCAGCCTCATCCATAGTTTATATTTCCTTTACAGGTTTTTAGTACAGTGTAGAGAACTTGACAACTTTGACAACTTAACTTTACTCAATTGACAAAATGCGTTGGCAAATGTTTTCATCTTGTTCTTTTTTCATAAATTTATTCATTGTTTAAACATTAAAATTAATTATTTATGTAAAAAATGCAATAAATTTTTCTTAAATCACAAAAAGACTAGAATCTATCTATCAAACTTTCCTATGTATATATCTGTTGTAAGCTAGAAATGGTGACTGAATAAGGAATAACAAAAAGGGAGGTTGGAAATGAAATGGTAATCTTTATAACATCAACAAAATACAATACTCACCAGCGGCGTGAAGTAGGTAAACCACTGATATTTGTGAACTACTTAGAATATTACCCCCGCTTACAATAGTGTTCAACGTATTTATGAGGATTGGGACATACCTATTTTTGTTCATAGGTACAGTATATAACATTATCGCAGTTACAATAAGTGTGCCTTTGTAATTTACCACGGAAGATGATAGGAAAAGATGTAAAGTACATGGGTTAGAACAAAATACAGCACCTTCCTTCATGAATTTCATCTCAACATGAAGGATCTGATTCGACAAATGGAAATTATCAGTATAAAAGTAGATACA